GGAGGCCAATAAACATCTCAAACCCACTTAAGCTTAAGCTTGTGCACAAAGTGTATAATTATGTTAAGCAATAGTGTCTCTTTCAAAATTTTGCATTTCATGGCCTTTAATCTAAAACGCAAACCAATTCAATTGTTGGAAAGTTGTTACATGATACTTAGGTGACCTATAAGGCCCCTTGGCCTCTTGTTTCTTTTTAAGTCTGGTAAAAATATCCTTGCTTGTTAAAACTTTTACTTTGTTTGCCTTTAATATGCAATGGAGCAGAGAAGATTTTTCAAAATAAATAATGCATTTTCACTACAGATTCAACACAACCCTACCCTAACACCAAAACCCATGACCCAGGGTCATGAATTTCACAAATTTGGAAGAAGTACCCTCATCACCATAACTCTGCACTTAGTTGAAGATTTTCAAAGAATTTACGCGTTTTCTCTTTATTATCAATAGACCCCCCACTCCCCAATAAGAACCCTGGGACCATGAAGTTTAAAAAAAAATAAGTAGCAAACTCTTATTCATCATAAGTATGCACTTTGTTTATCAGCTCAACACTAAGGATTAGACAGGGTTATTTAACAGAATACTAGTAAATGCATTTCCACTAATTAATAGAGCCCCGCCATATATAACACCAGAACCTCTGACCCAGGGACCATGAACTTCACAATTTTGGAAGAGGCACTCTTGCTAATCACAACTACAGTAAAACTCGTTTAGTACGCACACGGATATTGCGAATTCACGGATATAGAGAAGTAATCTTGGATCTCAAACAACACAAATTTAACGAATTCCTTTTACGGATATAACGAATTGCGGATATAGGGAAGTAATTTTTCAGGTCCAGTGACTTCGTTATAAACGAGTATTACTGTATATACTAAGTAACTTTAATACACAGGAGCAGAAGGGAGCATTTTCAAAGAATAATTGTTTTTCATTATATAATCAATAAAGCACCGCCCCAACACCAGAGGCCTTGACCCAGGAGCAATAAAATTGATTTGACAATTTTGGAAGAGGCACTCTTGCTCATCACAACTATGTGCTTAGTTAGTTTACATGTGTATTTAACATCCAGGAACAGAGGAGGAGATTTTTAAAGAATAAATATTTTTTTTCATTATACTAGTATAATCAATAGAGCCCGCCCTTAAGAAAGAACCCCTGAAACAGGGGCCATGAAATTCACAATTTGTGAAGAACTCTTGGTCTTCATAACTATGTACTTAGTTTGTTTGTTTAAATCCTAGGAGCAGAAAAGAAACAAGAGGCCCATGGGGAACATCGCTCACCTGAGTAACTTTGGTGATGCCTTTCTAAGCCAGATTGCCCGCCTTATAATATCTATTAGGGTCCCTTCCTACCCCCCCCCCCCGCGTCATGAATTAAACAATTTAGAATTTTTACCACCCAAGGATTCTTCCAAATAAGTTGCAGCTTTTCTAGCCCAGTGATTCTTGAGAAGAAGATTTTAAAAAGACTTTTCCAATGTATTTCTATGTTAAAACTTGAATTCCCTAATGTGACTACGCCCTTCTCAAGGGGGTCATGATTTTAACAATTTAGAATTTACACTACTTCAGGATGATTCCATATAAGTTTCATCTTTTCTGGCCCAATAGTTCTTTAGAAGAATTTTTTTTTATAGATTTTCCTTTTATATATATTTCAATAAAAAAAACTTGGATTCCCTATATATTTTTGTCAACTTTTATTATTTTTTAACTTCACTTTTTGTTCACTTTTAAGGCATTTCTAACTTTAGGCTGAATGCCTCTTGATAAGCAAGTTGCCCAAATTGGACGGACAATGCTATAGTTTGTGAGGTACTGTCTATCTCAATGTCCCCACAGAAGAAACACACTGGCAGAAATTTGGTGGTGATGCCTGCAAGGAAAAGTGCATGAAAGTTGACTACTACTAAAAGTGATGTCAAAAACAATAAAATATATTAAAGGTGTAAATAATACTTTCTGGATCTAGTGTTTGTTGTTTTAGTTTTTATTATATATACCTGCATAATAAGTAGTTTCCATTTCTGTGGCACATTCAAGTCCTTCTCTCACTACAACATTATCATAACAACGGTGACCCTCAGGGAAGAGTGAGGAACCACAAGTATAGAGGAGGTTATCCTGAACCTCCTCTATGTCTGTAATCTGTAGTCTACTGAGCCGTTCCTTCGAGTACACCACTCTCCGCTTCCCACAAAGACAGCAGATGATGAAGCTGCGAACTTTGCCTGGAATAAAAGGAAAAATATTTAAAAATATAAACCTTCTTTTTCTCATTTTGAAGCAGAATTAGATTTGGATATCCATGAAACCCCTTGTCGGATTAAATGATAATATACGGCCTTTTAAAATACAGTATACAATACCTCCTATCAAAACGCCTTTGTGCTTCTTGTCATTGTCAGTAGTAGTTCCTTTAAGGCCTTATCCAGGACAATCCTTGTCTGTGGTCTCTGTGCCCATGAGATCCTCAAGAGATTGGAATGTGCCATCAGGACCTTTGGTGGGATCGGGTAACCAATGAAGGGGATATCACCAGGAAGCCTCTTTGGATTCAGGGTGCAATACCAGCACTGAGCAGTACACTTTTTTATCTTATTTTAAAAAAAGATAGAACAAGTAAAAATTAAACATTGGAATTTTACGTAGATATACATATCAAATGAAATAAAATGCAATTTCACATGTACCTGGAATGAATACTGCCGTGCTCGACAATGTTTGTCAATGAAGTCCTTCAACTTCTTTGGAGCATTTTTCTCGTTACACTCTATCACACTGCAAGAATCTTCTATATCTTTATACAAGTCTAGGACATCACTTAGATTCTTGATTTCTTCAAAGGTTGCTGCATCATGTACTACTACATTTCTGTTGTGCAACTTCAGCTTAGAAAATCTGTGTTTCAATAAAGATAGAGTGGGTTCTAGTGATTCTTCAAGAGCTGTTTTGACATTCGGTTGTCTCTCAGAAAGATCCCTCAGCTTTTTCAAACTTGATGCAGGTTTGACAATATATTCAAAGTTGACATCCATGGAATTCCTTTGCAAGGATACATTCTGAAGGGCCAAATTCAACAAACTCATGCAACGCTCAGCTGGATTATAGTAGCTATGAAATGGTACAGTCCTTGCTGCAATGAGCAGATCCAAGTCCAGCGCGATAAATGTTGCAATGTGCGCAAGTTTTACGCTCCAGAATGTTGTTCTGTGATCTGGACCACCATCTGTGTAGATGAAGAGAACATGACAGTCCAGGGATAGTCCATCAGAACTTCTGCTATTTCTCAAAATAGATATACTTTCAGCTGCATGGCGTATTGGACTCGATGGTGTGAAAACCTTGTCCTTTACAGTTACGTGAAGAACACCATTATAAAAGCTGTCGTCTTTGCACTCTGGTATCTCAACATCCAGAAGTACTGAGGGCACTGCACCATGAATATGGAAGTCATGGTCTAGGGCTGACAATTTGGTTCCCTCTGGTATCAAAGATTTGTTATGAGCTCTAACACCTGTTGATGTCGGTGAACCAGGTTCACCTATTGGCACAATAGACTTGTCATCTAGGCATATTAAGGCACAGTCTGTACCTAACTTCACGGCCAATTCTTTCAACATGGAAAAAAGATTGAAGGCATAAGAGGAATCGGGATGTGTGGCTCTGGTAAGTCTTTGTTGTACTGCATACTTGACTTTAAAGCGGCCTGTGTAGCATACTGCTGATCGCACAAAAGCATTGGATGTTCAAAAATTCAGGCTTAACCATGATCGGGATGGTAAATTTGATCCTGCAGGCAGTCTTGCAGCTATAATTTCTATCAAGTCCTGGCAACTAATGGCTAAAGGCATGTACATTTTATCAGATTGACGTCTCTCCTGAACAACAGATTTCTCCTCTAAATACGAATCTAGGGCATTCCAAAATGGGTCCAATGATGTGTCTTTGGGTCTGCCATTATTTTTTCTCAAGTCATAAAACATTTCTGGTGCATCGGCTTGTAAAAGGAACTCCAAAACTCTATCATCAACTGCTCTTTCATCACTTGATGCTGCTGCACTTGCATCACGTGTCAGGAATCTGTACATATCTCGTAAGATAGCAGGCTTAGTCCCATTTTTTGAATAACGGTTCATTAACTCATTTCTCATAGCCCTTGTTGCATAAATAGGCAAGTTTTCCTTTATGCTTGATATGGCCTCTAGATCACCATTTGCATCATTATCTTCAATTTTCCAGACAAAATGAAAATTCCCAAGATAATTTCCAAACCTGTGTGTGTAGAGTTTCACAGAATAAGGCAAAGTTAGGTTTTCAATCCATTTCCGCCCGTCAAATTTATCTTCAGGTTGGATATCATACAAAAACAATGGATCAAATGGTTCACGTTCCGAGAGTGACTCATGCAATTTCAAATAGTTTTTATTGACACCTTGAGAAGTATCTGGTTTCCTTAGAGACCACTTGTCATTCAATCCTCTAACAGGTTCTGGCTTTTGGTGATTAAAAGCAGTTCTTTCCTTTTGCTCACTCAAAAAATCCAAATATTTTTTCATTCCAGAGACTAGCGTATTACATATATCAAGTAGTTTCTTTGATTCTTTACTCAAAAAGAATGGATGTCCCATCATGGTAAGAAGTTCCGAGATTTTTTCATGCAAATCTGAGGATGACACCTATGAAATATGTGTTGTTTATACAGTGCATTTTATAATAAAGAAAACATACTTCTTTCAATATTAAATTATTTAATACATTTCATATCACTTTAGTATTTATGAAGTGCAACATCTAATATCAGCTCATTTATTGTTTGTTATAACTTTTCTTTAATACCTTCGGTTCTTTCTTTTTTTGATGTCTCCAATCATTATATCCTCTAAATTTGTTGATATCATCTCCGAAGTGAATACATTTGGCATTAAACTTTTCAATGTGTGGATCCAAGTACTAAAGAACATTGGTGAGTGTCTAAAGTTTGTAATATACACGCCAGTACTCTCCACCTGTATTTGAAAGCAACCATACATAATTCTATCATTCAATATTCTTCATGAAAGAATTACAAATTCATATATAAAACAAATTAAATATCTGATCAGCTGAATAAGGAATAATAAGGGATAAATTATTTTAAACTGCTATAAATCCAAACCTGCACGGATGTAAAGCCAACTCCTTTCTGCTTCAGAAGATTCAAAACAATGTTGTACACTTTGTCTTTGGCATTGTTCTCTTTCCTATTAAATAATACATATGCAAACACATAAAAACATATACAGTCTAATTTCTTTTTAATATATATATATTTTTTCTAATTACTTCCTTTTATAAAACTTGAAAAATAGATTAGTTCTCAATATACAATGAATTTTAATTTCTAGTATGAAATATAATTGCCACTGTTTTTATGTGAAGATACAGATCTAGGTTAAAAGAAGAAGAAAATTTAGCAAAGTACTGCGAGGTTAAATATCCCAGGATGTTTATTGACATAGACACAACACAATTTAACCATATACCACATAAAGTAAAGCTGCAGAAAATACACACAAGAAAGGATGTTAAAAGAAGATATGATGTGGGTTTTATAGTATTGTATTACAACGTGCATTATTAAAATTTTACCATCTCAAAGTGTTTACTACCAACCCTGAAATAAATATTTGACAATTTTATTACACAAAACAATTTCTTAATTCAATTCACATGTTGAAATAAAAACATGTGTATTCAAAAACAATTGTACAGTTTAATAATACATACCTTGCAGAGGGTAGTTTATTGTATGGTTTTTGGACATTCATCAAAATGTCAAAAACATTCACTGATCCCTTTTCCTTTTCTTCAGCTGCATCTGCCTTGTCTAGAAAATGAAATGAAATTAATGATAAAAACTCTCGGTTTCATGGAAATTTAATAGCAAATACATGTATCAGATTTCATATTAAAAAAAATTATTTTATCCTTCAACAAAACATTTATTTTAAGAATACATGTAGCCTATGTCATTGTCAAGATTACTTCCATAGCACTTGACACCAAGTTCTTTAGATATTTTTCATTTGCATGCGATTTCTTTTAAATTTTTACGCAAAGACAGACATATCAGAGTTCTTACCAATCTATTTTATATCAACAAATATGTATCTCACTCCAAATGACTCCAGTACAGATATCGGGGTATCCGGTTCTGTTACCGTCGATGGGTTTCCTATTTCCGAATTAGAAGCCCGAATTTCCGTAATGGAGACATTGTATTGCGACAGATATGGGTGAAGCGCATCTCCTATTCGTTGATCAGCCTTTCCACTGACAAAAAAACTTTTGGAAAGGGTTGGATTCCCTCCACAACAAGCTTTCACCTTGAAGTAAGTGTGCCCCGCCATGTGGGGTTTGACTGTCTGTATTTGTGCAGGTCATTGGGATGTTTGTGAAAGTCAGCGTATCTTAAAACGCTTTAATGATTAAGATGTGTTATAAGTTATAAAAACGGTCGTTTGGTTGAAAAAATTCCGGAATACGAAGAGAGTTTCGAGAGTTAGACACATTATTTTTATTTTCGTAAATCGGGAAAAATAGGGTCGGCGGAATCGTAAACCAAGAGAAAAAAAACTTTGGCCTAAGCTGGATATTTCAAAACATAAGATTTGTACACATAGAAAGTCTGCCCTCTAACAAACTTGGAAAGTGCTGCTAGAATCCCGAGTTAAACATGGTTTTACGAAAAATCTCGGATTATATGTATAAAATTCAAAACAAAGGGTAAGGTTTCGTGCGAATATATGGAATAATTATTTTATTGAAAGGATAGTGGGATTCTAGCAGCATTTTTTAGGCAAGATAGATGTTTTTCAACTATATTATGTACTCAAAGAAAGTATTAAATTCCAGGGTATTGTTCTGTTGGCTTTTTTATTTAGGAAAATTTCGCTATTAATAGAAGTCACGTGATGCCGTGGCGGTGGTGTACGTCTTTGTGTTAGACACTCTTTTATCTGTTTGCAATAGTTAATAACAGTTTACGTTTATCAGCGGTTTTGGTAATTCATCAAACTTAATTTTCTTTAAAAAGTCTAAATTTTCCGAGAAATGACTTATATGCTTCCTTAACATACCCGCGTTATTCTGCCAACGCCTGTCGTGACACGGGACTTCGGTTTTTAAGGTCTCATTCTTAGGACCCGCAACTTTCACTTCAAGTGCCGAGCGCATGGCGAAGGAACAGTTGCAACCCATATTTAGGTCAAGGAACAGTTGCAACCCATATTTAGGTCACCTGAGTAATCTCAGGTGACCTATTGATATCTGTTTTCATCCGTCGTCGTCCGTTAACATTTGAACATTTTAAGCTTCTTCCCTGCAACCACTCCACCAATTTCCACCAAATTAAGCGTAAAGCATCTGTGGGTGAAGGGAAACAAAAAATTGTGAATTTCATGGTCCCTGCCCCTCTGGGGCCGAAACCGCTAAAATAAATGCAATCTGTAAAAATCATCTTCTTTACTCCTGGACATCAAGCATTCAAACTGTTAGCATGAATGTAATGACCATTGAGTCCTCTACCAAAATTGTGAAATTCATGGCCCCAGGGTCAGAGGTTCTACTGCTAGGGCGGAGCTCTAATGATTATATAGTGAAAATGCATTTTTTTTTTGAAAATCTTCTTCTATGCTCCTAGGTATTAAATAAACTAAGTAAGTACATAGTTGACTTATGATGCAAGAGGGGCAAGAATGCCTCTTCCAAAATTGTGAATTTTATGGTTCCAGGGTCAGGGGTTCTGGTGTTAAGACGGGGCTCTATTGATTATATAGTGAAGATACATTAATTCTTTGAAAATCTTCTCTGCTTCTGGGTATTAAACAAACTAAGTAAGTACATAGTTATGATGAGGAAGAATACCTCTTCCAAAATTGTGAATTTAATGGCCCCAGGGTCAGGAGTTCTGGTGTTAGGGCGGGGCTCTATTTAATGATTATATAGTAAAGATGCATTAATTCTTTGAAAATCTGTTCCTGGGTATTAAACAAACTAACTATGTATATAGTTATGATGAGCAAGAACGCTTTTTCTAAAATTGTGAATTTTATGGCCCCAGGGTCGGGGGTTCTATTGATTGTATAGTGGAAATACATTAATTCTTTGAAAATCTTCTTTTCTGCTCCTGGATATTAAAAAACTAAGTATATAGTTATGATGAGGAAGAATACCTCTTCCAAAATTGTAAATTTTATGGCCCCAGGGTAAGGGGTCTGGTGTTAGAGTTGGGCTCTATTGATTATATAGTGAAATGCATTATTTCTTTAAAATTCTTCTTTGCTCCTGGGTACTGAATACATTAACTAAGCACATAGTTATGATGAGGAAGAATGCTTCCTCCAAAATTGTGAATTTTATGGCACCAGGGTAAGGGGTTCTGGTTTCGGGGCGGGGCTCTGTTGAATTTATAGAGAAAATGGAGAAATTCATTGAAAAGCTTCTTTGTTCCTGGGTATTAAACAAACAAACTAAGTACATAGTTATGATGAGCAAGAGAGCCCCTTTCAATGAATTTTATGGCCCCAGGGTTAGGGGTTCTTGTGTTAGGGCGGGGCTCTAATGTTTATATAGTGAAAGTAAGTTAAATCTTCTTTTAATTTTCTTCTCTGCTCCTGAGTATGAAGCAGATGAACTATCTATATAGCTATGATGAGCAAGGGCCATTCTTTCTGAATTGTGAATTTCAAGACCCCTGGGTCAGGGGTAAGGGGGGGGGGGGGGGGAGGGGCTCCACTTATATACAAAAATGAATTCTTTGAAATCTGCTCCTTGGTATTAATAAAACATTTTTGTTAAGCAAGGGTGCCTTTTAAAAAATTGTGAAATTGTGGACCAAGGGTCAGGGGTTTATGTGTGGTAGTGGCACCACTGATTATTACTGACTAGTCGAATTGCATTTTTTGTTCTTTACTTCGCCTATGGGCATTAAGTATAAACCAAAGTAAGCATGCAAAGTGTATAGCTATGATAAGTAATGGTGCCTCTTTCAAAATTTTGAATGCCAGTACGTCTAATTTAAATTAGGAACCATGCAAATTCAATCGTTGGAAAATTGTTGCATGATGCTCAGGTGACCTACAAGGCCCATGGGCCTCTAGTTTACTGACTTAGGTCAGTCGCGGCCGAAATTCGAACTCATGACCTCCAGTTCACGGAGCGAGCGCTCTACCGACTGAACTACCGTGAACGGTGGGATGGACCAAGAACAACCGGTGATCAGAAAAGCTCACTTCAGCGGTAGCGAAGTTAGAAGTTGATCTTTACGTCGCGTGTTCAAATCCCATCGTGAGACGTGGAGCCTGGTCCGTCAAATGAGACGTATTAATCGAGGTCCCGTATCGCAGTAGGTGCTGGCACGAAAAAGATCCGTCCCTGCTCAATGGCCGTCAGTGCCGAGTATAGGACAAAATTTGTAGCTCTCTTCCGATAAGTGGTGGCGTCTCCATATGAGTGAAAATTTCTCACAATTCTGAATTTCTCAGTTTTGGTGTACAGCTCACCACATATTACAATCTTGCAAACAGTGTGGCTGCTTAGTGTCCAGGAATTAAATAGAAGATTTTTAAAGATTGCATTAATTTTGGTGGTTTTATAAGCCCCAAACAAGGGGGACAGGGACCCTGATTCACCATTCCTTGTTCCCTTTCACCCATATATGCTATATGCCAAAATAAATGTTGAAATATTAACGCACGACGAACGATGACGGACAAAACGGATAGCAATAGGCACTATGCAAAGCAGCAAAATGTTCCCATTCAAACTTTGCGAGATCGCGGGTAAAAGGGAAAGTTAACACGGAGATGGTCACCATGGGACCAACGCCTCTGATAGGATAGGAAGATAATTTAGTCTATCATTGAAATAAATGGCGCCGGCTCCACTGGGTTATGGCTGCACAAAACATGGGGTGACCAACATAGTATCTGACTATGCCATACAACTTTGAAAGAGAACAAAACAGCAATAATCTCTCTAAAATGCTTTACAGGATTGATAAAGCGGTGGCCAGATTTGAAGGTTGTTAAGCCAAGAGCCTTGGAATTCCAACAGGTAAAGTCAGCTAACCAAAATAATTCAAAAAGACACTTTCAGGAACTTTCATCTTTCCTCACCGAATACAAACTATTGGACAAACCACACAGAATTTTTAACATATATGAAAAAGGTCACCCCCAATCTTGTGCCTCCTTTTATAGTCTCTGGCATTAGGCAGACTCCACAGACTTCAATAGTTACTATCTTGGGATGCGCCAGTGCAACAGAAGTTTCCATTCCACTACACCTTGTCTATGGTGGAATGCGCATGCGGTCAGAGTTGATCGAAGGTTCAACATCAGGAGCATGCTGATCTTATATTGTCATTTTCCTACAATATTTGAACAACCATTTTATACATTATGTTCCTGGTGGACTCCGCGAACGAGTTCCTCTTTTCCTAGATGGAATACATCGCATGTTTTAGTTGTAACAGTAAAATGGACAAAGCAACACTATACTTTAACAAAAACAATTAACGCTGCGCAAATGGTTCAGCCATTTTTATCCCTTGTCAACAAATTTACAGTTCATCAGTTCGTATTTTTTTAAACGCATTTTTATGCCATGTTATGAAGGGTAAGAAATAGAACCTCTGAGAACACTTGGAAATATGTTTACTGGAACATGTCGTTTTTAGAATATGAAATTTAAGGTTTCGTCAAAGGTCAACATATCTAAAAAATTATTTTTACAATAGCTCCAATACTACATGTGGTATAAAGTCAAAACGTTTACAGTTTATAAATATATCATTGATTAATAGATAGAAACAAATATTTTTAAAAGATATTTTTCAAGAAAAATTGTATCAGAAAATGTGCATATTTAAAGAAAAATGCACTGCGTAATTCTGTCTTTTTTGTGAAAACCATAATTGCAGAAATATATGTTTATCATTGAAGGGCAAGTTGGACGTGAATGGTCTCTGAAAGGCTGTTATTGAAAGCATGACATGTATAAAGACAAGACCCCTGTAGAAGGGAAAACAACTTTCCAGAGACTATCCAAGTCCAACTTGCCCTTTATTGATAAACATTTTTTTGTTTCTGCAATAATGGTTTTCACTAAGAGCGCGGAATTAATTAGGTGTATTTTTTGAAAATATATGCATTCTTAAGAAGAATTTTTCTCAATTAATATATTTTCCAAGTATTTTTTTTATCAAGTGATACTTTCTGTTAATCAATGAAAAATTTATGAACTGTAAAAGTTTTAACTTTATACCTCACATAGTTCTGGGGCTATTGTAAAAATAAATTTTTGGACATGTTGACCTTTGACGAAACCTTAAAGACCATACAAGAAATAGACAATTTTTTGTTATCATCAAAGTACTTAAGGCTTTTAATTTTAAGAT